CATTTTTAGGTGCCTAACCTAAGACTCTAACTATATCTGTATTGCCTGTACCAGAGCAGGACCCACTGTGTCTTGCATTGGAGATAATCCTTCTGTCTCCATGGTTATGGTAGATGGCCGTAATTCAACTGTGAGCCTCACACAGTCCTAAAAGCAGTCTGAGCTCACACTGCTGATAAATGCCAGCTGCCCTTGCAGCAGGCCGTGCCGAAGCCATTCTGCAATATAATCCATGAGTAATTTTCCTCTTCACCATTAACCATGGGACACTGCTGCATGACAACATTCCCGATCCACCTACACAGTGCCTAAGTCTGTGCTAGGTCTGGAGTGTGGGCAGAGCCTTGCTATCCAGCCTAAGCCCATGGCTTTAGGTCCGACAGCACAGTTTGGTTGCATCCTATGAGTGTAGAGGGCTTAACTTTCTCAGTGTGCCTCTAGGCTCATCTACAGTCTATGCTGAGACAGATCTTGCATCACCTGTCGAGGACATGAGGGAAATGGAAGCTTCAGTCTAGGCTTAAAATATAATGTTAATGCACCTTTGGAAAATTCCAGAATTAATAATTAACCTTGTTGTGAAGATAAGGCTTTTTATGAACATGTTGACATAAATCATTATAAAAAACACAGAACATATGTATTATAGGGTAGGATATCCATATCCTATATGGATAGGACAAATGAAATAAAAACTGCTTCCTGCCTGTGGTCTGTTTCCTAGGTGGAGAAACAGTGACTTTCAATCCAAGCATGATGCAGGTCATCTACAGTAATATTAGTGAAAGGAAAGCAGTGTCATCCTGTGTTTGAATGCTAGCTAAGAAGCTAGAACAGCTCCCTTCTCTGTGTCTTTCTTTAATTTTTTGAAGCTTGGTGCTTCTTCCATTGTTTTGTAAATGATCGCATTCCGTGTTAAAGTAAGATGGCTCCCCTTGTTGCTATCAACTGTCAAGCTAAGGGATGCTTTGGACTACTCTAGAATCAATACAGCAGTTCCTGTTGAAAAGTCTGTATCAAAGCAGGAAGTCATTCTCATGGGAGGATTTGTTTTGGTAGTTTTAATGCAGAGCTACAAAACAGAACTATGTGAATGGTTAACGTGTATTAATCAACAATGATTTTCAAACATTTGTTAGAGGTGAATAACAAGGTTTCTTCACTATCAAAACTCTGCAGATACACTTTCTTATGAAAGAAGGGACAAGCAGCATTGAAGAAGTTGCTGTGGGATTACATTAGCTAAACTGACACAGCTCCTTTTTAAACAGACACAGAAGAATTTGCATCTGTGTAGGAAGGTTAGTAAAATCATGCATATAGGTAAATGGGTGAAAATAAAGCATCAGTGTACATTCAGGGCTTATGTCTAATAGAGCTTTGAACAGAGCTCTGTCACCACAGCAGAGTCACTTGTTTGAACCAGAAGCTTGACAATAGTTTAAATTGATTTGAAAAAATTTCACTGAACAAGCACATCTCCTTCTGCAGATGCTCATTGATGTAAAGTATCTTAAGTAAAAATAAATTTAAACTCTTACCAACTAATGTTAGTAAACAGTCTCTGTATGACACATTGTTACATTATTAGTAAACAATCTCTGTATAACACATCATTTAAAGCTCTTCTGTACATAACAGCTGGCAAACATAAAGATACATAAGTTAAAGGCACTCTAGATGTAGGCACCCTCCCGTCATCTACCCAGAAGCAGATGCACATCTCTGTTGACGTACTGTCATAGTAGACACCAAACCACGGTAGTCTTCAGGCCCCTTGGGGGATGCCTACAGCCTGTTAACCCCTTTCCCAAACTTTCCTGCTAACTACAGATCCACTCATTTTCACTGGTAACAATTCACTGTTCCCTGTTGTTTTACACTGGTACAATTAATAACGTTTTGCAAATTATGACTGTATCCACAGGTTGATCTCTCTCAGCTGTGCTGGCTCGAGAGGGCATAAAAAGCAGAAACATCCCACTTTTATATCCCCTTGCCAGCTATATTTTGTCATAAAGGTTAACATTTCTGTCTTTGAATATATATAAGGAAAATATCAATAAGATAAGAAAAAACTGTTTTTATGTATGTGCTCTGACCTGCATTACTTTTTATCTGTTTTTCAGAGCAGCTCAATTGCAGCTCGGCAAAGAGTTGCGTAAGGAAGTGAGAGCAAAGGTGACTTTCCCAATGTGATATGAGCCCCTTGTTGTACAGTGCCTCTATCCTTTCAGTGGCTGTGCAGCTGCCCTTCAGAGCAGGCTCCAGCCACCATCAGCATTTTGCACTTCTGATAGATTCAGAGATTTCAGAGGAGCAACAAATAGGTCGTCTGTGCGACCTTTTGTATAGCACTGCTCATAAAATGTCACCAAGCTACTGACTTAAGCATGTTTTCCATTTGCTGATGGCTCTTATGACACTAAATGAGGATTAGATTGACTGAGCTGACTCATGTGGTTTCATGGAGTGACCCAAGAGAATGGAAATACGTCAGAGAGCTGGCAACGCCTTTTCCTCATAGTGGTGATATTAAGATAGCAAATCAAGTAAATCATAAATAAACCCCAAACAAATAGCAGAAAGCTCCTCAGGCTGATATTTAGCCATGCTGTGATGAGCAGCAGTGCCTCTGCCAGATGATTTTTTTCTCAGGTGGTCAATTTACTGAGATTTCCGTTATCTGTGGGCAGGAATCTCTGTTGACTTAAAGCTCTTCAAATGCCTACGTTTTGCATGAGTGTAGCAAATACGTGTTTCTAGTCCCAGTGTTTCCTGCATTTTTTGGTGAAACTTGATGGACCAGGAACTGACAGTGTAACTTCTACATTTAACAGGAAGCCTTTTGTTTGCTTCCAAACCTGGTGCAAGATATTGCTGCCCTTTAGAGAAATGCAACCATTTTAGATACATGGATTAAATCATTAGCCTGAAATGGACTGTGCATGTTGTCAGCTGCTCCTATTATTAAAGCCTAGGAACTCTCCACAGGCCAAAGAGAAAATACACACAGGAAACATTTTCTGTATTAAACTAGACTAAATGAGACTAAGAGAGTACTGTCCTCCAGCTGCTGTAGTTCATGTTGTTCTCCCTCTGACATTCAGAGTACAAACTCAGTTAAGCAGGAGATCTTTGGGGCCTTTTTTGTGTGCCAGGCTCAATGGTGGCACTTTAAAATCAAAAGTGGATTGGTAACAGTTGTCTATAATTAAATGAGCTACAAATCACTTGAATTAATTTCCCACAAGCTCAAAGCATGGCTATAGTGCTGGTACTAGTGCTAAAGCATAACTGGTCTTCATTTAACAATGTCAGTTAAGCCCTGTTGCAACTAAGAGCCCTCATGCAATAATAGAATCATAAATCATAGGTTGGAAAAGACCTCTAAGATTGTCAAGTTCAACCGCCAACCCAACACTACCATGCCTACTAAACCATATCCTGAAGTGCCACATCTGCACTTTTTTTAAACACCTCCAGGGGTGGGGACTCAACCACTTCCCTGGGCAGCCTGTTCCGGTGCCTGACCACTCTTTCAATAAAGAAATTTTTCCTAATATCCAATCTAAACCTCCCCTGAAACAACTTGAGGCCATTGCCTCTTGTCTATCACTGTTACCTGGGAGAAGAGACCAACACCTGCCTCACTACAACCTCCTTTCAGATAGATGTAGAGAGCAATAAGGTCTCCCCTCAGGCTCCTTTTCTCCAGACTAAACAATCCCAGTTCCCTCAGCTGCTCCTTATGAGACTTGTTCTCTAGACCCTCACCAGCCTCCTTGCCCTTCTCTGGACACGCTCCAGCACCCCAATGTCCTCCTTGTAGTGAGGGGCCCAAAACTGAACACAGTCCTCCAGGTGTGGCTTCCCCAGTCCCGAGTACAGGGGCACGATCACCTCCCTACTCCTGCTGGCCTCGCTATTCCTGAGACAAGCCAGGATGCCATTGGCCTTCTTGGCCACCTGGGCACACTGCTGGCTCATGTTCAGCTGGCTGTCGACTAACATCCCAAGATTCTTTTGCACCGGGCAGGATGTTTGTATGTTTGATTAACAAGAGAAGAGTGAAGAAAAGGAGGAGGTAATGATGTGATGTGTCTGATGAACACTTTTACAATGGAGAAGAGTGAGACGGTACATGCAGCACTGACTTTTGACCTGCTTCCCACCAACTTTCAGAATTCTCCAAATGTTGCCAGAAGATTATGCTATCCATTTCAAAAGGTAACAGTGAGAAAAGCTTCTTCTCTTGATCCGCTAGGGACAGCTGGATCATAGATAAATGCCTCTATGTAGCCCTTTAGCAAGTTTTATTAAAGGAAGTAAGGGGTGTATGTTGTTTTTGGAAATGTTGCTTTCGTCTCAACTGTGTTTATGATGTCCAGCTTAAAACGAGTGAAAATGAAGATGATTCTACTTTGTACATTTCTGTTGCTCTGTTTATACTTGACACCTTTGAATTTGTTTATTGTTATTTGTTGATTAATGTTCATATGACATGTGAATAACCTATAATGCCCACATGTTGCACTTTTAACACCTTTTTTCCTGTTGGTTCCTAATTTCTGTTAAGAGGTTGGTTTGAAAATGCCAGCGATGTTAACTGCAGTTTTACAATGACAAAAAATCAAGGCGTGTCTGAAATATTTTTGTTAATGCTGAAAGTTACTGTGGGAGGGATGAATGAGAAGTACGCAGTGGGATTGTTTTCTTCAGGCAGACCTAAACTTTCACATAATTTGGGCACTGTCATGATAATGAAAAATCAGTGGTGTGTGAGATATTGAAATCTTAGGGACACAGGCATTTTGTGAAGGAAAACCAAAATATATAAAATCGAAAAGGCTGAAGAGCACAGAGAATAATACAGAATCACAGAATAGTAGGGGTTGGAAGGGACCTCTGTGGGTCATCTAGTCCAACCCCCCTGCCGAAGCAGGGTCACCTACAGTAGGCTGCACAGGATCTTGTCCAGGCGGGTCTTGAATAAATACCCATTGCTAGTAATCACAATTCCATGCGAAAAACAAGAGTGGTATCAGCCATTTTCTTCTTATAATCTTCATCAAATTTCTCATTCTGTGCCACTGTGAAATAGTTCTTCCAGTCCCCGACAACCCCTAAGAAGCAGCAAAGCAAAATAAGACAAAAAGATCAATTTACCAGTGTTTCCTGAAGCCCATTAGCCATGACTCACTAGATACTTCACTTCGAGGCTTATTTCAAAACAGAAAGGTGGCCAGGAAGACAGAGTTGATGCCAATAACAAACCTCAGTACCTTTTCTCATGAAGGGGGAAACAGAGTGATCCATTACTTCCACAAAATCCTTAGTGTAGTTTGTCATAGGATTTTCCTTCATTATCTCAAACGAGGTGTTATCGAGTATCTTATTTAGAACCTCCTGATTCACGTCCTTCTCCAGGAACTTCAGAATCTTCTGAATTTCTTGCTTTGGATTCTGCAGAGAGAATAACATGGGATAAGACAGAGCCAGGAAAAGCAAAGAAAACAAACATAGTGTTAATGTCAATTGTGAGGGTGAGAAGATCAGGTTATTGGAAGATTTACTGATACAGCTGGCGTTATAATAGAAATCTGTTGATCGTAAGTAATAACTACTGGACTTCCAGATTTCAGAGCTCTATAAACATATATTCAGCCTTTTACCTCCTTCATGTCTTCATAGAAGAGGTAGAGAATACGGTGATTATCTTTTGCCTTCCACCATCCTTTTACATGGTCGTACCAGGAACCCCAGAGCACTGAAAAAGGAGTAACATTAGCAGCAGCTATAAATGCCCACCCTGTCTTTAGGTATCTGTGGCACTCATGTTTCCCTCATAACCAGTGCCTGGGGCGTTTCCCATCTGGTTTTGAATGACTGTGGCCACAACTGCTGTTCTCTGTGCTTATCACAGCATTTGTGCTATTAATCCACCAGGTGTATGGATGCTCAGAGCAGGATTCATGTGTAACTTTAGAGGGCAACGAATGCAGATCCTTACCCCTGAGTGAAAAATCCAGGCTGCCTTTACGGTTGATGGGAGAAACAGACATTTCCAGAGTGATTCAGCTGATCCACTGGACAAGACCGGTCTTAATTGGCCCTGCTCTGAGCAGGGGTTTGGACCAGACAGACGCCAAAGGTCCCTTCCAACTTGCATTATTCTGTGATTCTAACTAGTTTAATATTTGGTGTGCTATCAATCAGAAGTGCCCATTTCTCTCCAGCAAGTATCAAGATGACTAGCTTGGACAGAGGTAGCTATGTTCTAGATGTCTGCACTGGGACAGATGGCTCCCAAGCTGTGCTGGAGTTGCCTGTCTTTAGCTAGATAACTGGATTTGTTCAGATGCCTGACTGTAGACAGCTGAATTTAGCTAAAAAGACTCCCTCATCTCAATTTCACAGCACACATTTCTACACAAAATTAAACCTTGGTTTCTTGTATATTGTGTTAGAGCAAAACCAATTAAACCACTGTTACTTCCCAGCTGGCTTCATTTAACCTCAGAGAGAAGAGGTTAAGCCTGAAACTTGTCATATATATTTCCGAATGATAATAGAATACGGAGTAGCATATTTTTTTTTTTTTTCAAAATGGGAATGTAAAGATAGAATTAATCATTTAGGTACTAATAAACACCTGTGAATGAAGATAAATTACTACTGAAACACCTTCAATAGATGTCCTTCCATAGAGTGTCAGCACTGGATTTCAAACTGTGGCTGAAATGAACAAAATCTCTTATACAACTGGTTGCAGTTCATCACCTTTTCCGGTCATGAATTTCTCCATGAACTCCTCCCAGGTTCCTGGGTCAGGCATTGCTTTATTCATTCTGTGGAAATGATAGTATGACACCAGATTGTCTTTTGCATTTCTTGCCACATAGATTATCTTTGATGATACGAAAAGAGAGAGAGAGAGAGAGAGAGAAAAATTATCTTACACATGCTTATATAGATATGGAGCATCTCCTGGAGTTTTCTCTTGGAGCCTGATGACAGAGGCTTAAGAGATTTTGCTTTGAAGCTGCTATTTTCTGAAATCCAACTCAGGTAACCTAGTCATGGCTTCTTTAGTTTTGCACAGGCTTTGCACTTTAGAAGGGAAAATATCTGGGGAGACCTTTAGGTTTCACAAAGATTCTGGAAACCATATTCAGTCCCAGTTTATATCACTTTCTTTGCAAGTGCAGTAGAATTGGGTCCTACCTCTTCAGCCTTACCTTACAGTTTTGTTCCCAGAAGGAGGGAGGCAACAGCTGCACAGGGAGATGAGTTTTTATTGTTCGTGGAAAAGGCATAGCTTCAGCTAACTCCAGGCCTGTGGGATATTTCATTATGAGATGTGACTTGTTCTATAAATTGCACTAGAACATCTTTGCTGTTCTCATATATGGGATTTTCACAGTGACTTTTCAGCAGTTCGCCTTGCAACGATCATTCATCTCCAAAGCAATTGCGTAGCAGTGCAACGTACACGACATTGCATAAGCACCTTCAGTGTTTCTAGAAAAAATTTTACGTATGTATTCAAGGAGGAAAGGGGGAGCACTGATTCGTATCTACTTCTTGCTTTCTTAGGACCATGTCTAACTCCTGCATTCCAAGGGATAATGATGATGAATACTAATTTATATTTATGCAATCAATGTTTTTCCTTCACAATATTTAGGGATCTCCTTTCACTTTGCAGGTAAGAAATCTTTGTTTCTTTTTCGGATACGAGAAGAATAGAGTGGCTGACTGAACTTTCTGGATAGCATGTGAAGGGAAGGTAGGAGAATGATGGACAGTGGATTTTGTGTAGCTTCGGATTTATGAGAATACTTGGGAATATCTGGTGATATGTGGAGATATGTTACCCTCTCCCCTTCTCCTTTTTAAACATCTATCATTATCTATATCTTTTTTTTCCTACTGTCCTCTGTCATCCCCTATCATTTTTTTTGTTTCTGTGTCAACATAGTCTATCTTAGAAGAGAAAAAGTAGCACTTCTGATATAGAGTTAGTCAAGCTTTTTAGCTTCAAATGTGAAGAGAGTCTGGCTTAAAGATTTGTGTGGAATGGGAGCCCTTGCTGGGGGAAGACTCTTGGAGCAAACTTTTTGCAGAACAGTCAGGCCTGCTGGTTACCTGAATGCCCCATAGCTTGTTTAGATGACTAGACCCTAGAATTTAACAGCAGTTGCTCAAAACAGTAGCAAAACCACTGAAAACATTACCCACCTTTTGGGAACACATCCGCAACTTAGGCTTCTCTTCCATACAGTCCCCAGTCAGAGAATGGGATTCAGTTGCCCCCACGTTGCTATTTTATGCATATCTGTCACTGTGGATATTGTGCAGTATCCCACACAGCTTTCAGATGCCACTCCAGAACAGCACGGTCTTCAGTAGCTCCGGAGTCACATCTGCCAGCCTTGCATCGGCTTGAGTAGCACCAGATGTTTATGTTAAAGCAACTGAACTGATCCCTAATACCCAACATGGTACATAGCTCAGTGACAAAGCAAGTGGGACCTTTCCCAGGAAACCTGTGGCATCAGCAGCGGGTGCTTGTTTTGTTTCATTTTGTCAAAAATACAAACCTATTTGTATAATACTCACCTGAGTAACTCAGAGTTGGAGATGCTTCCATAGACCACTCAAGGAAAGGATGGCGTTTGTAAGTAGTGGCACGTCTACACTTCTCAACATCTCCATTTTGTTGAATCATATCCACTATCTCCTGTGTCCATGTGGTACCTGAAAATGTCAGTGTTTAGATGTTTCTCTCAGGGATAGCCAAGAGTCTCTCTGCTAGGGAACTGAAAGCCAGAAGGATGGACACCATATTAAAGGAGGAAGGAACAGCACAGAAGATGATGGACAAAGTGGAAACAGAGGGTAAAGGAGGAAAAATACATAATTAGGAATACAAAGGTAGTTCTCAAAGCACAGTTTCAGGGATTCCATTTTATACAGGCTTCTGCCAACAGAAATAGCTTCCACCCCAATGCTAGTAATGAAAAAAGCTCTGGGATAAACTCACTATTATTTGGGGATTGTATTATTTGCAGGGAGGAATGAAACTCCCTCCTCTCAATTTTCATACCCATCAAAACTTTGTGTATTTCAACATCTGTTTTCATCCTGAGTTTGAATGAAAAAATGAAATACCCGAACTTTGAGTAAAAATTTCATACAGTTTGAAAATATAAAAAAATTGCAGTATTTTCAGCGTTCCCTTTTGAAATGCTTTAATCAAGGTCAGTACAACATTTCATCTGCCTGAGCTACTGCAGCATCTTGTGAGAGTTACAGTATTGTGTCTTTCATGTGCCTCTTTTCCCTTGTAGCCGTGATCACTGGGTTAACTACATCTCCTCCTAGATACGGTGGCAGGGCAGATAGAGAACAGACTAAGGGAGAGCCTGGAAAGCAATTTGGGCAGGAAATTCAGCCCTTCTGAAGGTACTTGAATTATGCATCTCTGGGAGATAAAACATAATGTCAAACAGACTCCTAACTTTATTTCTTTTCAGTTCGATGGCTGAGAGTTTTTAATCCAGGCAGGATAAAATAATGTGGTTTAGCTTTCAGTATACAGGAAATAAATTAAAAGCTCTCAGATTTTACAAAAAGAATGTGGGGGATTTTTTGTAATATTTTTTTTTCCCCTACTGAAAAAAATACTTAAAAATTCTTACTAATTCAAGTAGTTGGTTTTTAATGATTATCAAATGTTCCTGAATCTGTTCCTGAATCCCCTAAACTGTACATGTTATTATTCATCCAAGATTTATATTTGTGCTTGTTTTTCATTGTTTTCCTGTCTAGTAAGTATAAAGGGTCTGATCAAGAGGAGAAATAGTAATGAGCTAAGCAGCCCATTGCTGAATAAAATTCCAGATAGGTAATATTAATGGTGGGTATTTTATTTTATTGGCTGAAATTAGTAAGTGAAATTGGTAATTTCCTTAAAATAGTTAACCCATTTCCAGAAATCAGGACTTGTTTACACACCAAGTCATTCCCCAAATACATAACACAATCCATCGTTGTTAGTCAGTTTCTATTATTTCTTAGTAGTAATGACTTCTTACCAAGCTTTGTTAAATCATTGCCTATTGGTGGAAAACTTTTATTGTTTCCATTAATATACATGTATATAATCTAAATCAAAGGAAACATTTAAGTATAGGTAATCAGACTTTGACAATTTGAACTTCAATAACAATAAATGGTTGTTACTTCTGCCAAAGAAGTCAGAACTTATTAGTCACAGCTGACAGAGCTTCATGTCTTTAAAATGTGTCTTGTTTGGGATTAAACAAGTGTCAGTCACAACAGAAAAACAAACTTTTCTATTCTGTTTTCTACCCACACCAACCTGCTTTTGCATAGGCTGCGATGAGCAGATCGTCAGGTCTGGCTTTGAACTTCCGCACTGGGTCCCACATGCTGCATATTGTTTTTGTGAAGGGAATACCTTCCACTTCACCTACCTCAGCTCGGGTCACTGTGTATTTCAGACTCAAATCCTCCATTCTAGCTGGGGCTGTTGAGCACTGCATGAAAAAAGGCAGGCTTAGAATTAACATGGTTGCTCTGAAAACAAATCTAAATTTACTCATCCATGCTTGAGGTCTCTTTTGTTGTCTGAATTCCATGTCCTTTGATCTTTTTGGCTGTGATTTGGCCTATCTGGATCCACATATAGGCTCCTTAAATCTGTATCTAAGTTTCAGAAATGCTTGCTATGTTGCTGTTGGTGGTTCTCAGCATCTCTAAAAATCACTCTGTGTACTCAGATACAAAAAGAGAAAGAAGCGCCATTATTCCCACCTTTAATCATTTTACCAAAACATATTTATGTAAAATTTTGACTGTAAGTACGTGGCATTTGTAAAGCAAGAAAAAGTAATCAGAGGTGTGATTCAGAAAGAGACAGAGCATAATGTCTCCCACTGAAGTCAGCATACAGGACCCAATCCTTCGTAAAGAAAATAAACCGAAACACCCTTTGGGCATCATACTCACAAAAATGTTTGCAGAACTTCTCTGTGTTCCGTTCCTGGAGCTTTTCACTCTTAGAGCTCTTTGCAGTATATTGAAATTTGTTGCAGATAAATAACCTGAACTAGATAGATAATTAACTAAGTGTTGTTGGACTTTAAATATCTGAATCGATCCAGCTAAGTCTACTACCTGTTGTACAATTTTGAGCAACTAGTTATTGATTTCTGGATTTCTTTCTAGGAGGCCCCTTCTTAGTCATAAACTTCAGAGTCTGGTCAGAGGAAAGTTCTGCTTAAGGGGAGGCTACAGAAATCATCTCAATTAAAAATACCAGCCAGAAAAGAGAAAACACATTTCAGTCCCAACAGCAAACATTTCCAAAATATTTCCTTTTATTTTTCTTGTTTACTCATACCCGATTTCACACAGATTCAGTTGAGCAGAGCGAGATGTTGGGTTGGTGGCTGGGCAGTGACATAACAAATTTAAAAAAAGAAGGAAAAAGAAACTTGCCAGAGAATTTTTCCTGCTTGAATGTCTTCGGTCCTCAGCTGTATTGATGACTGTGCACCAACTTGGATCTTCAGGCAGAAGCAGGATGAAAGCTTGAGTGGAGTTTCTGTTCCACCTATGAGTGTGAGGAGAGCAAAGGAGGAGGTACAGCAGCAGGAGCCAACAGCTGAACAGTTTGTCTGGCTCAGTTTGTGAACTCCTTTTTAATCCTGTGAAGGAAAAATACCTTGAATTCTCATCTAAAGTATGATTCTTGACTGACACCAACATCAAATGTCGGTCAGTAGCTTCAGCAAGATTATTTTAACTTGTCTCTGTAATTGTCAATAGTCTTGGAATAATTTATTTTCTTCCTTATATGTAATATAAGTTTGAAAATAGTTTATTGTTTGTTAATACCTATGATCAACGAGAATGAATGAATTAAAAGTCACTTGGTTCCATTTTCACCATGTACTGCACCATGCTCATTGAATAGATGTCTAAGGGTCTGTTTCATTGCTGGGGCCAGCCATTTATGTTTTATAGCACTATTGTGACAGATTAATTTCTTAAGTAGCTTGGCATTTCAGGGTTAGGAATCGCTACATGTTTGGCAATGTTCTTTTAGAAGATGTAATTCCCTGCCTATCTTTAAGGCTATATGAGATACTGGGAGAGATAATGACATAGAATCATAGGTTGGAAAAGACCTCTAAGATCATCAAGTCCAACCATCCACCCAAAACCACCATGCCTAATAAACCATATCCGTTCCATATCTACACATTTTTTAAACACCTCCAGGGATGATGACTCCACCACTTCCCTGGGCAACCTGTTCCAATGTCTGACCACTCTTATAATAAAGAAATTTTTTCCTATATCTAATCTAAACCTCCCCTGATGCAACTTGAAGCCATTGCCTGTCGTCCTATCATTAGTGAGCTGGGAGGAGAGACCAACCCCTGCCTCACTACAATCTCCTTTCAGGTAGATGTAGAGAGCAATAAGGTCCCCCCACAGCCTCCTCTGCTCCAGACTAAACAGGCCCAGTTCCCTCAGTCACTCCTCATGAGACTTATTCTCTAGACCCCTCACCAGCCTCGTTGCCCTTCTCTGGGTCATGCTCCAGACTAACCACAAACAGCATAGTAACGTTGGCTGCCAAAACTATGCCAATGCCACTTTTGTATCTGGCTCCCAGCTGTTCCAGTCATCCTGAAATGTTTGATTCCATCAGGAAAAACTGTTCTTGGGCAAAAGGTATGTCACTGCAGTTGAATTCAAGCAAGTTTGAATGGATTGTGTTCATAAAGGAAATTTATTTCGAAACAGCATTTCTATCAGGCATTGCTTCTGTCTTCTGTTGAAGGCACACAAACACTGTGAGTAGTCAAGGTCCTTTTTGGCCATCCTTTGTATGGTCTGGCAACATTTGTATCTAAAATAGCTGTATGTTAAGTCATTTTTTAAAAGGCATTTCATATATCCTAATCAAAAGAGGATGCGGCCATCCTTGCTGTAATCCTACCCTCATATGGAGGGCTAGTCATCATGACCAGTGGAGCCTAGAAAGTGATTCAGCTGAGCCAATGTGCGCTGACTTGCCCTGCAGAGTCCATGAACTGTCCATACAGTCCATGAACTGTATGGATTAGCTGTCCATTGACTGTAGGGGGAGCACAGATATCTAGCTTGCAAAGACTTATATTTTAAGGCACAGGTGGGAAGTGCGGATGTTCTGCCGCAGGGTGAGGAGTGAAGTGAGAGTGAGCTGATGCAGGGCTCTTCTGGATCTCTGTAAGAAAGGCCTGAAAACAAGTGGCTTAATAAAACAGCTGTTCTGATAAGGCAGAGTAAGACGAGGAATACAGATAGCGAGTAAATATTACGTCCCTTCAGATGCTGGGAACCTTGCATTTATGCAGCATCAGATGGAGCCCAGGTAGATTTTTCCCAGGGTGTGCTGAGCAGGTCCTGTCTGTGAGGAGAAGGTCCTCCTTTTCGGCCATTCAAGCTATGATATCATTTTCTTGCAAGAAAAACACTGTTCACGAAGGGTGTTCATGGGAGAAGCTGTTGTTGCCCTTTTAGACAAAGGTAAGGCCAGGCAGGAGGCATGATCACTGGTACCATGTGCGAGCTGCCTTCAGGCTCCGGTTACAGAGAGCTGGCTGAGTCTATCATGCAGCCAAGCACAGGACAGGCTCTGCAGCTGACTGATCAGTGCAGCACAGCACAGGCTGTGCCTGCTTGGGTTAACTGTGGTGTGGATCTCTGCTTGAGGTATGGTGGTCTCCGGGTCAGGATCGCCATTGTCCACCCCTTGATCCACACACAGGTGATGGCTTTCCTTACAAAACTTACAGCACGGAGGTGATGGGTCCCCTCTGAGGGGCTGTGGGGGTTAGTGAATTGGTTCACCGTTCCCTGACTTCAGGAGATGTTTCCAAATAATTGGGATGCAAACCAAGAAACCGAGAGGACTGCTTGATTGGCTTTAAGCCAACCAATTGATCTTTTTCTGGTTCTGACACGGGGTTTTTCTTCTGAAGGCTGGCGACACCAGAACTAACAAATGACACAGAACAGGCAGAGAGTATATGGTTAAGGTATAATATTTCTGTTTCAGTTAGTGGTTTTTTTAACAGGACCATTACTTTCAAATTCTGTCATGGGAGGATTTGTCATTTTCCTCTCTGTGTTAAGCCCCTGCTGAATCTGTTTGTCCTTCTCACACCGGCACCGGGCAGTTCATTTTCTGGTTTGAAATGGTATTCCTCCCCCTTTCACTTACACAACCATCCTGATAATGCAGTAATCCCCAAACCACATCAGCTGGTGTGCCTGAACAAAGAAAAACCCCAGAGTTGCTTATCAAATGGCTGTCTTTTATTGCAGCTGTGAATCTGAGGAGCCTGTGAACGGTACACTGTGCCAGATAAGCTGGAGTGAGGTCAAAACCCACTGCCTGCAGCTTTAAAACTGCTTTCAAAGTAGGCAATGGGTGATGGATTTCTCCTGTTGTGAAATACGGAGATGAGAGGTGAACCGGTCAGCCCAGGGACTGGGTTTCTGAGCTGGGATCATGGTTTACTAGGCCACTGTAAAAAAAGGACCAGGCACTGTCTGCAAAGACCTTCCTCCAGGTTTCCCTTGGCAGGTGTTTCCTCATGTAAAACACACTGGGCCTGAAATAGAAAGCTACAGGCCACTCAACAGAAATAATAATGGGAAGAGACTGCTGGGTGCTCTGAGCATGGAGACAAGTGACTGCGAATCAGGAATATGTTTACCTGTCCTTGGAGGTATCCTGGCTGTATAGCACTGGGAGTTGAGGTAGTTAGGTTTCACAGGCACTAGGTTTTGTGAAATCTGCATCTGATCAGCAAAGGAAGTACAAAGGGAGAGCAGAGGTACCTTCATCTTAATTTTGTCTTCATCTCGCATCTTTAAATCTACACATGGTAAGCCAACAAATTTTCATAATTGTCTGCGACTCTCTCATTTAGTTCCATGTAAAATTCTCTTTTTGACACACAGCAGTTTATAACAGCGACAGAAAGGCTCAGGAATATTGTTGCACAAGGCCGCCAGTTTGCTGGGGTGGCTGCTCAGAGCGCTGGCCACTGGCCTGGGCTGGGCTAGACTGCCTGCTCTTCTGGTCCACGTCAGCATGCAGCTTCCTTTTGGCACAGTGTCACCAGAGTCGTTTTGGGGATAATGGCATGTTTGCACTATTTACTTACATACTTTTATTCAGTGGCGTAGATATATCACTGTTTCCTCTAATTTTTCCTTTGCATGGACTGAAAAAAAGAAGCGTGTGTCCTGGAGACCCTCGGGTATTGGGTGGATTCAGGACCCCATTAGTACATGCTGCTGCTGTGCTTCAGGGCTATCCATACCTGCACCATGCTGCCCTTGACATTAATAGGACTACTTGTACGAGCAGACATATTCAAATGTTACTGACTGGAACATCTGAAGGGAGTTAAGCAAGGATAAACAGCACTACAGTGGAGTCAAAACCAGAAGAAAGCAGGTG